GACCTATACATCGGAGAGCACCCGGTATTCATTGTTTAGACCACATCGCATTCAATAAGCCATTGAGATTCTGAATGAAATAGGACACGTGTCACATCCCTAAAAAAGTTTGGTTAACGGGGAAGACTTTATCCTCTAATCTTTTATGGGGAGAACGTCGGATTCGATCATTTAGCCGTTCTTTTCAGGCGCATACGTGTGGGTGTATCGCAGTAAGCAGGCTCATCGCGTTATAGGTGTGAGGCCAGCCCTGATAATGACCTACGTTCTCGTTCTCGCCTTGTCAACCATAACAGAGCGAAGACGACTAGCGCGGCCATGTCTCGCCTCGTCATCCAGTCATCTGGGGTAGTCCCTTAGTTAAGTATAATGCAGGCTGAGAGGAGCTCTGAGGTTTTGGGTGGGCAATGGATAAGCGTAGTCTGCGCTGAAGCGCAGAAAGTTGCGGGCTGAATCACTGCCTAAAATAGCGCCGCTTCACTGCCCTGACAATTTAATTCTCTGTCTAAATATTCTTTTTTAAGCATTTTAAACTGATTCAGATCAACGAGAAACAAGATTACACTCTGATGAAGTACGTCACCGTGTTCTACATGCTTCTCCATGCAGCTGTGGCCACCCATACTAAGTCTGTGAAACAGCTCTAGTTTTATCTCCGAAATTTTTCATTCTTTTCTGGAGAATTGGGATACGTCTGACTCCTCTCTTTCAGGGCTAAACTGAAGTATCCCCAGCAGGAACAAACTGCGCTTCAGAGGCGACGAGAGTCGCAGGAAACCCTCTCTAGTGTTCAGTGCTCCCTCTTGGGCAGATATGCTCCAAACGCTCTACTCTATGATGTACTGCCTCTGCTGCTGCAAATTGTGCAGCCGCCTATCAAGACGGTAATAATTTTCATTTTGATGAAACTGTAAGGTCTCAGGTTCAGAATGCTAGAAAATACAGCGACACTCAAATACAGTATCCATTGAGCACACTACAACAAGTTGTATTGTGCTTGGGTTAACAATTGGTGACTATGTGGTCTTGAAATTTCTCACGGAGACTGAATGATTTCTACTCCGTTGGGCTACGTAGGCATGGAGGTCATGATGGCTTCAGTCGAAATCGCTCATATTGATGCGTTCCGCAGCTTTAATAGCGTGCCACTTTCCTTGTCAAAAGTGCAGGAAAACGAGGCTGGAGGATGGTGATAACCAGGTGCCGTCTCTTGAGTCGGCCCGGCTTCCACATGCTCAATTACCTTGGCTATGACTCTTACCATAGCTAAACGCACTACTTGTCTGTGCCTCCTCATGTCTGGTTGTCCTCTGATTACGTGTTCGCTGCGGGATTTTGGTATCGATGCACGTGCTGCACCTTCAGGATATTGCAGGCGGAGTCTGGAAACAACACCCACGTATCATTACCCTCCAGCCACGTTTCCGTGCACATTTGAACGACAAAATGGTAGGAACTGTGAACCCATTGATCTCGCTCAAGGCAAGCTACGTCCTCGGAGCTGAGTGCACAGTTTGTGTACTCATGGAATGGTATCAGTTTTGGCTCAGTGTTACACTGAAGGAGCTCTAGAATGATGTGGCAAGGTGTAACTGAATGAGCAACCTGTTTACTTTTGCAGATGAACCAACAGTTGTACAGCACGCAGGAATTGAAGGAGATTGACAACGTCGTGAGCATAATGGCAGATTATCACTTGACCTTTACCCCAACAGTCGCGTGAACTTTCAACCGCAGTACTTGTTTCAGCCGTAAGTGGCATTTTGTATAGTTTAGTTTTGTTTCTTATGCAATAGGAAAACTAAAAGGAAAAGTCTCTCGGGAAACCTCTTTAATACTCCTACAATCTTTAAAGAGCACGTGCCTCTTGTGTAGAGGTTTTCTTCGCGTCCCCAGAGAGATGATTTTTGAGATCCTTCTGTAATATGACGTCGAACCGCTGCTCCATTCAGTCTAATTTCAGACCGATTGACGTGCTAACGATGTTTCCGATATCGGATGAGAGCGCACGAAATTTGCTGTCGAACTCAACAAGACAGATGATCGCACAGAAGGTTACCATCTACTGTCTTTGAAATGAATTCGGTTTAGTTTTGCTTTCACTTCAAGGTTATTGTTTACTTTTCAGATAACGGTTTTCCTTGCCACTGGAAACAGAACAGATGAGAATTTGGCTCCTAAAAGCAATATAGCGCATATCAAACAACTGGTGGCAGCATTTGCTAGAGTGCACCAGTGAAAAGGACTCCTGGCGACGCCGCTTCTTTACAAATTCAATACGGGTTGTAGTACGGCTGTAAAGCGTACCATTCGAATGCATCAACTTCTAAACTAGACCTCTTTTGAATCCACTGATTCCATTTCCTTCACTTGAACTAAGCATTTAGCCTCTAACCGCTTCATTCCTCGCTTGTTTTCATTCCTTCAGGTGTACGAAGCTTGACGAACGTCCCTTCATATCAAGTGCTGCTTTAACTAGGACCTCTCTGGTAATTTTTTTTGCTTCACTGTGCTCATGTGTACTATTGTATTTTGTAAATAGTTTGAAATACTTTTGCATTTTGTATATAAATATTGCATTTCTCCTTGTTTGTTCGTTCTATTTCAAGTATTTTTTACATCCAATAGTCTTGAGTAACGGCTGCTGGAGAGTGTTGTGGCTAATGTGGTCTGTGGTCTTTTAGTTTGATTCAATCAAAACTTAAAGACGGAAAGCGTATGAGCTGTCCTGCGTAACCTCAGTAAGGTCTGCGATGCCAGTGCTGGTCCTGTCGGCCTGAGCACCGTTCACAATCGAAGACAATCGTGTCACTGGAAAAGCAACTGAGGATCTTCTAATTATCGGCTATAGAGATGGAACACCATTACTAACGAGCTGGCTGATGGTGAGCTCACCCACTCCCTCCTGCCAGCGGTGGTTCTGCCGGCGTCCCTCCGCTAACACTGAAGGCTGTGCCGTCGAGCAGATGCTGGAGTGGTACTGCCCAGTAGGCACGAATAATGTGAATCGTTATTTCAGTCAAAGAAAGCTAAGTAGAATAGTTCCATAAGTGTGACTCTCCAATGTTCGATTGCTAATGGAAACAATTCTTCAGGTTCCTGGGTTTATTGCCAGCGCATAGTGCCTCATCTGTGAGAGTCGTAATTGCTTGACTTGTGGTTTCTCAGAGGATTTGTTTATTAATGCGATTCCTGAGTGTCGAAACAGAAGATGTTACATCCTTGGGGTAGACCAATTGTGTCCCGGACGAGATTTGTGCGTATGTAATGGAGTGATTAGGACTTTGTTTTGAAGATGTTGCGCTTGAAACTTGCGGAGGAGGTGGTCGAGCCCAGTGGTCAGCCTTTCCAGATTAATGACATGCCCTGTTGCTGCTTTGTTTGACTTGCAGGAACAACTCCGACAAGAGATTGTGTAGCTTCGTGGGCTGTTATCTCTTCGTATGTGTTCTGAGCAAGGTGAAGCATACGTCGCGGAATTCGCGGCGAGGGGGTCGTATTCGGCCTCCCTCCTGAGGGGGAGTCGTATGTGCAGAGATCAATACCTAATACAGCAGGGATGTAGCTTGCAGGATGAGTGGTGAGTTCGGGAAGAAAGACCAGTACATGGCGCGTTCCATCAAGGTTTTGAACAGCGTCTCTCTGCTGCAGCTCCTAGTCACTACATGAGGAGGAGCTGTGCGGGGGCCTTCCTAGATGGAAATGTAGGCTTGGCATGTAAGGAGATATTCATGCTGCGGCGCTGTCTTTCAAATGGAACTTTGCGACGGACAGATTTTCGCTGCAATTCAGCTATAGCGTGCTTTTTACAAAAGAACAAAGCCTCTACACCTTATGACCGTGCAGAGCTATGTTCTACGTTGCGTATGAACGAAGCTTATGGCGTTTAAAAGATAAGGAACTTGCCTTGAAGAAAACTCCCGCTTATTCTGTGATTTTCCGCGACTGGTGCTAAATTTCGCTGTAATGAGCTACAGCAAAAGTCTGTACTTCATTTATGAGAAAAAGCTTCTAGTTTTCAATGCCGATGTCCAACTCCATTTCTACGTTACTTTTTGAGCAATGTTATTTCCACCGAAAGGTGAAGAACTCATCTTTGCTCAAATTTCTTATTCTCTGGCCAGAAGCCGTCATGCGTGCTTGACGAAACCTGAAGTGTATTTCTAGTAGCGGACGGCCATACATCTTGGACGTCCTTTACCGCTTCTATGGAAAGATGCCCTCTGAATGAAGTTATACCCTCTTAAAAACCACTGTGAATGCAGCGAGCTGATAGCGCTCTAATCTCAATACTCGCGCAGCCGCAGGGTGCCTCAATTATCTAAGCATTTTATGTTGTTTCTTTTGGACGGCATCACTGTAAAATCTTCCGAGACTCCACTTGCGCATTACACTGCTACTTATTAGACACTAATCTCTTCAATAATTCAGTTTTTTTGTTTTTTGATCAACTGGACTGGTAAATGTTCCTAGATACTAAGATACTCATTTGGTGAAATTCGCATAACTTACAACATATGCAGCTACATCCTGATGAACATAGCAGATACCTCCACACACTCCACATTCACTAAAAGGGGAGGGGGTCGTACGGACACCTAGGTAGATCGTACCAACCCCCCGATTTTCCGCGACGTGGTGCATGACCGTGCTTATGGTTCACGGAGGTTCTGACGAAGCTCAAGCTACTGTCAGTTATTAAAAAGATTTGCAGATTTTTTTCACGTACATAGACGACGTTGAACATTTTTTCCATGACAGTATTTTTACAAGATCAAAACGATGGCAGTGTGTACATGTGTCGACGAAGCTGACAGATAAAACGTTCTTCTATTGCATAACCTCATCCGCCATGAAAATCAGCGACAACATAGGTAATTGGGTTCGCCACCGATCTGAAATGAACATTGGATAAGTGCTGTTGTCAAGAGATCCAGGCCTTGACGCGGTCTAGGCAGTATTCTTAGCTAGTTAACCGTGGTCAGCCACACGCCTAACCAGAGTCAAGCGCGCTACTGTCTACTTCCTCTCACTTCTGATTGTTCACTACTGCTGACGCAAGTGCTGCACATGGCAGGCAGGGCGGGTGGAATCAGGAGACGACACTCACGTACCACTAGGCTCAACTCCATTACCTTGCACCTTGAGGAAGGTAACACATTATTGCAGCGAGAATCCATTCACAGCTCAATAGGACCGTAGAGGAGAGTGTGCAATCTGTCTTTAAATCACTTAGCTCCCACTGCGAGTGCGCGACGTGACGCCTCAATGTTCCCCGTTCGCCGCGTCGTCGCATACTGCATCTGCTATGCGACACCAGCTTTATATGTACGACGGCTTTGTGGCTATACAGAAAACATACAGGCTTTGTGGGATAGTGCTTGAGTGAAGGGAGATGTAGAGCTCTCGACTATCTGAGAGCACAAAACTGAGGAACTTAGAAAACTCTGTCCTACCTTCTCGAAGTCGGTAGTACTCTCACGGCATTCGTAGTCGTCTGGACAGGCATCCTCAGTGTTCTGTGGATCGCACAGTATAGGCAGAGGTGCCGGCTTTCCAGATGAGCAAGACTAGGGAAAAACATTTTTTTTACTAATTGGTTCGCCTCACTCTTGATTGGTCTTGATTAACCACTCCATCCTCTTCGACTCATCGACAACACGAGAAGGAAACTGACGTAATAACAGTGCGTATCAGAAATGAAAATGGG